GAAGCCCAGCCCTGTTTTCAGGGTGACATATTTCCCACCCCTCCAGCTCCCTAACACATCTAGTGGCCATCTGTAGGAACTGACACATAGGACTGCTTGGAGTGCTGACCTCCTCACTGCTCAGTCAGTCTCCCAAACCCAGAGTCCCTTCTCATCTGCCGTCATTCCCACCTGACATGATGATACTGCTTCTCCTTTCTCAGTGATCTCTAACCAAGGAAGCTCATCTATTTTCCTGGCCTTGGTTATTGGGATGACTTCAGGTTTACCCATGTTCTCTCCCCTCTAACCATATAGCTAACCCTTTAGTGCCTCAGGAACTCAAATGCGACATACCTAAAACTGAACCCATCATGTATCCATCAGATATTTTCTCGGTTGTTTTTCATCTTTGTTTTTGTGGTCCTCTTTGTGTGTGTGTGATGCTATTATCCTCCCGCTGTCTGTCCTGAGAGAGACTGGTTGAGAATGCTAAGGCCTGAACCTCATTAGAACCACGGACACACTTTTGGCTTATATAGCGTTTGAAACCAACAAAGGCTGACGTTTGGCATTTTGGAATGTCCCTGAATGCTATTTATGAGCCCACCATGATGGGAAATCCCAAGAGTGCAACTTTACAGATCTACACATCTCAGCACCCCATCTCAAGTGTTTGCAGATAGAGATTTACTTAGGTTTGGAATAGCTTTAAAAATTCACATTAAAAAGATATATTTTTAAACCTGACTAACTCTTTTAACCACTGTAATGTAGCATTTGCTTCTGCTTGGGGTTGCAGACTGAGCAGAAGGGGTCTTTTGGCCTTCACACACTGATGGTAACTACTTTTCTTCTCTATGTTCCCTTCTGCTCAGTGACTGGGCTGCCAGAAACACTCTGGCTTCCGGTGTCAGAGATGTCGAGTCTTCTATATCAAGCATTGGTCAAACTCCCCCTGAATGGAGATAGCCTAGTTATGCAACCTTTCCTAGTGAATTTAAAATGGAGAGCATTTTACTACCAGCCTCATGCAGTTGTTATGAAGATTAAATACATGCAAAAAATCTCAGAATAAGATTGAGGAAACAGTGACTCACTTCATAAATATTAGATATGATGATTACTATATCTAATAACAATGTTTTTATAAATATTACATTTTTATAAATAGGGACTCAGAGTAGTGACAACATGTTAAGGGGTATATTGGTTCTTATTTTCCACAATAACCCCGCAGGGATTCCAAATGAGGTTGGTGTTCAGTAAGAGAAGACAATATTCAACTTTCTTATTTTCATAATAATATTTGTTAAAAATAATGGTTCTCATAGATACTGTGTTCAGTAGTTTCTATGCTTTATCCTAAGGTTTCACCAAATACCCTATACAAAGGATGCATGGGTGAATATTGTTACTTTTAGGAGGAATTTATTTTAATGTGTATTAGTTCTTAAAAATGTAACTAGTACATCGAATTAATGACTTCTTGGCCATTGCTTAGGATGAAGCTTAAATTTAAAAAATACTGTAGGTTGGAACATTTTTTAAAAAACTATATAAATAAAAAATAAGTTTATCTAGATCTGGCAAAACTTTTGTAGGAGAATAATTTTATGTTCACTTAGTCATGTGAGGCAGGCACCATTATTCTCCCCATTTAACAGATGAAGAAATTGAGGTTTAAAAAGGTCTGACATCTCTAAACTCTCTTTAACCAGTGGTAGGCCTGGGATTCAAACTAACAGTCTTTGCTCACTATTATCTGCCACCAGGGTGCTTTCTCACTTCCCTTCTCATGAAAGTTTTATTTTCCCCCCAAATTTTAATATTAACTTGTGTTTTCCTTTTTTATAAAATTAATCTGCATTTGTTACAAAAATTTTTAGAAAATACAAAGAAGAAGAATTTGTTTAATTAGGTAAAAACACTTAACACTTAATATGGGATCTGCCCTTTTAACAAAATTTTAAGCATAAGTAACAGCATTGTTACTACAGTCGTCTTCCCATATCCTAGGTCTCGCTTTCTGCATTTCAGGTGCCCACAGTACAGTACAATAAGTATTTTCAGAGAGATCACATTTACACAACTCTTATTACAGTATCTTGTTATAATTGTCCTATTTTAGTATTTGTTGTTAATCTCTTACTGTGTCTAATTTATGAATTAAACTTTATCAAAGCTCTCTCTATATAGGAAAAAACATAGTATATATAGGGTTTGATGCACTCTGTGGTTTCAGGCATCCAGTGGGAGTCTTGGAACTTATCCCCTGCCGATAAGTGGTGACTACTGTATTGGCACAATGTTGTACAGAATGTCTCCTTTTATTTTTCTTATCACAGTCCTGTGAGGAAGACAGGCCAAACAATGAAACTGAGAGAGGCGGGCAAACTGGCTGCAGTCCCACAGAAAGTATAGGTGCACCAAACTCCTAACTCCCAGACCCTTTCCTCTAAAACATACTGCATTGCAGGATGAGCCCTGGCAAGATGCCCCTCCTTGGGGATAAAAAGTAATGTGCCCCTAGGGAACAAAAGTTCCACCTTAGTTTAATGTTGCCATCAGCTTCTCCCTACTGGGAAGTAGGCTCTGGAAGCAGTGGCCTGGACTCTTCCCAGAACAGCAGCAGCATTGGCTCTGAATCTACTCTGGCCTCTTCTGAGCAAAGAGCTCAATAATTCTGTCTACACAAATACACACACATATGCATGAGTCAGCTGATTTAATTAAACCCCTTCTCAACTCAAATGGAGAGTTTGGACAAAGAACTGAGAGGCTACCAAATTACCAGTTTTTGACTGCATTGTTTTTCAATTGGTTGCTTTGGGATCTTTCTGGCTCACAGCTTCCTTCAATAGTGAATTGGAGGCAAGGAGGTTAGGATGTTAATTGGGCCACATGGTAAATTACGCAAATGCCCAAGGGAAAACAGATGCCATATAAATTGAGGTTTGCAATTACTGTTGCAATGCAGTTTTTTAAAAAGCCATTTGTAGTGATCTGTGATTCTACAAAGTTATATTTTAGGACTCTATGGGTTCCAGAAACAGATCTTTCCCTGGCACTGCTTCACAGTCATGTGACTAGGATCCCAAGTATTTCCATTTTGGCATTATAAAACAGCAACCAAGAAGAGACCTTGTTAATTTTGACCCTGGGGCCACAACTGAGCTGAAGGATTCAAGATCTCAGAACTTTTTCCATTTCAGCAAAAATATGGTGGTCCCAGGTGCCTGCTAAGGATTGTTTTCTTCCCCATTATTATTTCCGAAGATATTTCCAAGAAACTGGTAACATGAATAAAACTCATTTCTTCTTAGAGCCTAGTGGTTTAAGAAAAGGATTTGATGAGGAACCCATACACCTGCTGGTGTATTTCAAAGGTGATATTATATGCTGTGAGTTATTGATTAGTAACTCTTATTCCGGTTACTCCTGAGGGCTGTTTCCAAACTGCAGAGTTTTCTGGGTAAATTATTCATGGCAAGGGTGTTGCCTGTAGTGATGTGTGTCAGTCACACCACTACACCTTGCCTTGGGCTGGAGGCACTGCCATTCGCCTCCCTCCAACTCTTTTGTCATCACATCAATTTCTGACTAGCCTCAGCCACTGACAGTGCTGTCAGTGAGCCTCAAAGGCAAAATAGGAGGCGTTATCCACCCTCCAGTCTACAGTCCACCAGGGGAGAAGCCAACTGAAAACACAAGAGGACCTAATCAGACCTTTGATGTTACACAAAGCAGATTGCATTTCAATCTTGAAATGCAATTCTAGAGAATAAGGAGTCACTTATTCTAGAGAATAAGGACTCACTCTAAATCTGATTAAGATTCATCTGGTACCAAATTGTGATAAGTGTTTATTTTGGACAAGCAGATCATCAGTGTTTTCTGATTCTGCTTATTCATCCAGAAAATCTTTTGTTTTCCACTTTTGTTAGAGAAGAAGTAGTAAGAGAAAGCCTTGGCTGGTCCTGACTTATCTGTTGAGAAAACTTGAGAAGGAGACTGGGCTGCTTCTTGAATAACTCTGTACAGAGTCCAGGGTGCAGAGCTCCTTCTTCTGGCTCCCTGACTCAGTTTCCTAATGATCTGATGCCCTGCTGCTGCGCCTCAGTCCCCTGCCCTTACTTCCGTAGCAGAGGGGTACCTACCTTCTGGACTGACCGCAAGGTGGGGAACTAACTTAAAAGGGGATTGGTTCTAGTGAGAATTCAGGGACAGAGATGGCTAGCTGGGGAGAGGATTTGGAGCAGGTTTTGTGTATGTTTTTTGTTTTTCCTGCAATAAAATGGTACATAAAGTTTTAGAGAAAAAAATAGAATTATTCCTGATTCTACCATGCTTTGCAGTTGCTACGTAACCTTTGATCTTTTAGTGCATCTATTTGTACATATAAACGTGTGTGTTTATATAAAATGGGATGTTTTGTTTTAAAACTTGTGGTTCCCATTTAGCATATTCTGAACATCATTCCTTGTTGATAAGCAGAGTTCTCCATCATTTTTGATGACTGCTGAATAATTTTCTTTCTGGGGACTCCTCTCCCCTCTCTTCCTCTTGTTTTTCTTTTCTCTTTCTTCCTCCTACTCCATTCTCTCCCTTCCTTCACTGGTTGTTATTCCTTTTCTTCCTGATAATCAATAATCTTCTGCTCCAGCTCCATTTTATTGTTTTCATTTTATTGCTCTAACACTTTGTAATATACCCTCTGACTTATGCAAATAATGTGAAATAAAAAGAGGATTGTTTTGTAGTTTGGGATTGTGTTGATTGTCTAACTCATACCAAACTTACTTGTTTTATTTGTTTTGTTAACAGCTTTGTAATATTTTCTGTCCAGGTTCTGTGAGAATAAACATGACAATATTTTGAAAGCTTTTCATATCCCCAGAAGGAAGAAATGACAAAGAGGCAAGCCATTATAATGAATGCATATGATCTTTATTTAGGAACATGACAGTCTCAAGCCCTCTGTCACTTCTAAGTCTTGATGATTTGTCTCATTTGCCCAGACCCATCACCAGTCCATAAAGATGGGCAGAATGAGGCCGACAGTGCACCAGAAGACCTCCAGTCTGTGGGGACCAGCAGGCTGCTCTATCACATCACCGACGGTGACAACCCACTGCTGTCACCACGATGCTCCATCTTCAGCCAAAGTCAGAGATTCAACTTAGACCCCGAGTCAGCCCCATCTCCACCCAGCACTCAGCAGTTTATGATGTAAGAAAACTGTTTTGTTATTGTCTTCATTTCGTACAGTTTTTCAAATATCACATTTATAAACTACAGTGAAGTATGACTGAAATAGCACAAATGTGCCTGCCTAACACAACTGCGCGACTGGAACAATAAATGACAAAAATCAGTGTACTTGCTAGTTGGGGATGCCATTGCAGGCCTTATACCTCAGGAAGAAATGGTCATGAGAGACAGGATAGCCCAGGGGCTCACATGTTTGAACATTTTTGGTGAAATGAACAGAATCTTAAATAAGTATATGTACATGCACATATCAGACATATCATTCTTGATGAACTCAATATTCTTTCCATGTCCAGTGGTAGCATCCATGGATGAGTTGTGAGAACACTTTGGAGATGTCCATCTACATTTCTTCTTAAATTCTAGAAAAGTGGTAGCTTGCAATAGCTACCCTTGTCCAAATAATGTGTGTGTGTGTAATCAGATGCCTGCCCCCTACACATTCCACTTGGAATTTGCATTTGAGATTGAGGAACTGTGTGTTATTTATGTTTAAGTTCCACAAATAATTTTGATATACAGTTAAGATTAAGAATCCTCTGGCTAAAATTATGCCTGGAGAATCCCTGGTTTCTCCCTCAGAACTCATGCCATTTTTTCTTGATTTTATCTAACCCTGGGTCCATGAACTATCTATCGATGGACCTGAAAGAGTTAGTGAATTATTGATATTGCATGTAAAGTATGTGTTATGTGAGGGGGTGTATGCAATTTCTGGAGAAGGGGCACATCCTTTCATCATATTAAAAAAAGTCCTGTTATGTCAAGAAAAGTTAACCACTCATCTAAATCTTCCTTGAAAACGTTGGCAGGTGTGGCGTGTGCAACTTATTGAGGACAGGACCTCAACAGTGCGGTCTCTTTCGAGTCTTAAATTGGCCTCCTCTAAGCTTTACAAAATGCATTTCCTGGACTAATATTTTGACATTTTACACTAAAGTCCCAGACAACGTCCACCCATAACAGAGTTTTGTGATAGGGAGTCTCCATTAATGAGCAGATGTTACCATGGTGGCCTCATCAAATAATGAACTTCCCTCTGGATTTCTCTGACAATCCAGGAATTTTGGTTTGTAGATCAACAGAACTGTTTACTGGAAGCCCACTGTTTTTGATACTTCTTCCTCCCTGTAATCACTGCAGGCCGCGGAGTTCTTCACGCTGCAGCTGTGGAGATGGCAAGGAGCCACAGACCATCACCCAGCTCACCAAGCACATCCAGAGCCTCAAGCGGAAAATTCGGAAATTTGAAGAAAAATTTGAACAAGAAAAGAAATACCGGGTAAGGACTCTGGGGTTTGACATAGGAGCGGACTGGTCAGAGGTGTGTGGATTCTCCTCAGCCTCTGTCCTTCCTTTCTGGGTACCCTTCTTTGCCAGGGGACAGTTGTGTTCCCATGGGCCAACCTGGACCTATCATAGAGTCTTCATCTTCTATCTATCTTGTTCTCACCTGCTGTCACTTGATCTCTGCTAGGATATTTTCTAGTCATGGATTACAACTATTATTTCCAATCTTATTTGATTATTGATCTTGCCTTTTTTTTCTGAGGAACAAAATTTGGAAGGCTTTTGAAATATGGTGTGTTTTTTTTGTTTTTTTTTTGTTTTTTTTTTTTTTACTTTTTCTCAATTGCATTTTGATAAGAACTTATTAAAGACCCAAGGGAGGAATCTCCAACTGTGGAACAGAATGAGGTAGAGATGGTTTCTTTGACATTAAAGTATTTCCTCGTTGGTGAATGAGGACCTCTCAAATGACATCTGTTCAGGCCACTCATAAGAACCAACCCTAAGCCATCCTTTCCCCATCAGAGAGACACTAGTTTTCATGCTAGTACTGCAGTGCAGCAAATATCAGCCTCCTTTCTTCTTATGTAAGAAACAATAGGGTCATAGGTAAGTGTCTTGATGGTCAGTGTTGCTTTTATTTTCTCCAGTGGTGACCATGGCATAGAGAAAATCATATCCACGGAGAATTGGACAAAGACATTGGGTCTTTGGCAGAGAGCCCAGAACAGCTTGTTATTAGAATAAAAGAGAACAGAGAATAATCTCTCTTACATCTTGAAATATTTAAATGTTCACTAAACACTTGGTACAGAGGCCATTGGAAAGTTCTTGTGAGTATAGAGTAAGCTCTGGGGAGGGAGGTGAGAGGGTAATATTTCACTCTTCCATTCTTCCTGTCTTGTTTCCCACAGTGGCCTCAAATTCACTGAAGGAGGAGTTTTAAGGAGCAGATTTTAGCTTTGTAGAAATGGGGGGAAAATCAGATTGGCTTTCAGGGCAACCTTAGTTAGGATGTTGAAGATTATCTTCCCCAGAGTCAGGCAGTCACAGCTATTTATTGTCTTTTATAGAGCAGAAGGGAGCTCAACACATCATTAGTCCAGGATTTTATTTTACAGACAATGAAACTGACACCTGATGGAAATGACTTGCCTAAGATACTTGTGTTCTATCAAGTCACAACTTGGGTCAGTGGATTACAGATGAGTAGGTTTTGCAATAGAATATAAGTAAAAATTTTAAGTGTCTGCATTTTAAAAGCTCCAGATATCCTGAGAGAAGCTGATTTCACCTGTTTGCTGCTGGGGTGTTATTGGATCTATGATATTCTCATATTGGAAAATACAGAGTAACAACCAGAGGCTCCATTCCCAGCACCCGTTAACACATCTTATCTGGCAGTTCTTGATTCACACTATTTTGGATTTGAATCCAGCACAGCTACTTTTATAGGACTCTGTGATTTTGGACTTGTTATCTTTCTGAGTCACAGTTTGGCCATTTGTAAAATGGAGTATTAGGTAGTGACTTCTTAAGTTTGTAAGTAGTAAATAAGGAAGTACATACATAATGCTTATTACAGTGTTTGGTACAAAGGGAGTAAATGGTCCTAGATAACACTAACTTTTTAATCTATGAGTTACATATTTAAATAGGCTACTCCATGGCAGTCTCTGCCTTGTCAGAAAATAAAGGAAAACTGTACATGTTAATTTTCCACTGGAGTTTTCTACCCACAGTCACAGATCTTGGATGCTTATTTTGGAAGAGAATTCCACCTGGAAACATCTCCTGCCTTTATCTAGAGTTTTCTGAAGCTAGAGCACACATGCACATGCATGCACATGCACACACACACACACACACACACACAAACATATACTTAAATACACTTACGGAAGGACAGATCAGGGAGCAGTAGGGGAAGGAGGCTCCTTGGTCACCGCTGCTTCAGTGTGTATAAAAGTCTTTGTTATAATCAGAACCTCACATGTCTCAGGAAACCCCTGTCCTTCCGGTCAGGGCCAGGCTGTGCTTAGAGGTTTGACATGTCAATGGGCTTTAACTGTTGCTGTATGTCAGGCTCCCCTTCCTGGCAGTCTGACTGGAATTCAAAGCACCCACTGCTAATTTTTGAATCTGGGCTCCTGCTGGGCCTCTGTGCTTTTCTAATACCCATGTATCACGTATATCTTTCTATCTCTGTTTACTGTAACCATTTTACACACGTACCCCAAATTCTCTACATCTCTACATCTGATTTTGCATTTGATTATTGGACTCTTGGGCTAAGAAAAGGCTGCGTCAGCCAGATGTCTACTTTCAGTGGAATCAGGGAATGTTAGAATTGGAAAGAATCAGTGAGTCTTTTGTCTTATCTGACAACTGAAGAAACTGAGGCCCAGAAAGGGGAAGTGAGTTTCCCAGAATCACACAGCAAAGAATAGTTCTAGCCAGAACAGCAACTGAGGTCTTTTTATAACCCTCCCAGTAATGTTTCTAATGTGTCTTTTTGAACCATCTTTGGCAGATCACAAATCTCATACAATGGCACTTAGGAGGTCAATTTTAATTGCATTGAACAAAACCTAAACCTATGTAATTTCTGGGTGTTATGGCCTTTTGAATCAGAATATTTCACTTAAGAAGTTAAGTCTTGAAGATCTACAGCTTGTATATGGGAACTTTTCATGTGATTTGAGAGCTGCTATCCATGTGAGCTTGATTTAACCCTTTTAACAGCTTCTTCAAGGGTAGGGAAGTAAATTCATTTCAGAAACTGATTTCAGGCTTTAAATTATTTTGTCCGAAATTTAGCCTTAAATTTCTCCTAAGTTCTATGCACCATAGTGAAAACTTATTTCTTTTGCAGTCACTGGCTTAAGGCCTTAGTATTTTTTGTGTGTGTGTTTGTTTTTACCATATTTCAAAAGATAGAAATAACTGTGTGGAACAGATCCAGTGAAGCATTGTTCAACAAGATGTGTTCTCAGATCAGAGTGGAGAATTTTCTGAGGATTTTGAGAAACCAAATGTAAAACACTGGCTGTCCATGTAACCAGACTGCTATCCAAACCAAAGTACTAGACTATACAGTGCATCATTCTAGCAAACCATAGACAGGACTAGGCTAAGCGGTTTTAGAGAGGTGGGGATTGATGGCCACGTGTCACTGTCCATGGTCCTGAAACCAGCTTTTTTTTTTTTTTTTTTCTCCCATCCCTTCCCCAAACCCCTGCCATCCCTCAGGGAAACCAGTTTCCTATTCAAGTTCTTCCAGGAAAGAATCATTGTCAATCTTCTTTTCTATTTTAATCTTAAAATGTATGGTTTTTAAATCACTCTAGAACTGACAGAATCATGCCTTGTGTTTTACAATGAGCATACCTCGACTCATGTACATGTGATGATCCTGTCACACAGTAGTTTTTTCCTTTGAGTTTGAAAAATCTCCTATCTTCCTATGCCTTCCTCTCACCAACATCCTGCCATTGTTACATGGATTTAGTGGATCCTTAAAGAAAAAATGACAGCCCCTAGATTTGGTCATTAACAATGCACATATTTCAGGCTATTATGTTTATGATCATGTCATCTTAAGCTTATTTTATAGTTCCTTGTAAATCCTTAATTTAAAGTAACCATTAATTTTCTTGAGCCTGCGTGTAAGTTACTATGGTAGCCTTGACTTGTTTAAGAACAGTTTTTACTGATCTGTGGGGGTAGAGGGACAGTATGTTTGGCTACCACTAGTGAAGGTGTTAGAAATCTGCATATCCCCCTAACAGACTGACTTCTCAGGAATACTGTCAGGTTTTAGAGATTCTGGGGTCTCCTTTCTTTAGCTTAGAGGATATAACTGGTAAGAGCTAAATCTTCCAGTTTTTCAATATTCTCCCACGGGTTATGGTCATAAGCATGTGTGTGAGCCACAAGCAAGGTAGTAAGTACTGGTTTGTATCAGTGCAATCATCTGCAGTGCTACAGAAAATGGCCTGGCAATGGGGTATATATGGGCTGTGGGTGACCTGCAAGGTGATTGACAGCTTGACTGCAGGGGCACTGGCATGGCCAGGACTATGTGAAAAATATTAAGTGACCAGGCACATTTAGAAATAATGCCCATAGCAATGATTAAAGAGTAGAGGAGGTCAAGAATGTTTACTGTTTTCTAGAGGTAACTTCATCAGAAGCAACTCCATCAGAAATTTCACACCCGAATTTCTCTCCCAGCTTTATATATTCCTAAACTATCTTTGTATGGCTCAGGTGTTTACACATTTTGTTTTTCCTTTTCTCTTTTTCTTCCCCACCCTCTCCCTCCTTCCCTCCCTCCCACCCCCATTTTTCCTTCCCTTGGTAGCCTTCTCATGGTGACAAGACTTCTAATCCTGAAGTCCTGAAATGGATGAATGATTTGGCTAAAGGTCGTAAACAGCTCAAAGGTAAATGCCAGTCAAAGGTCTTTTATTTCCTCCTAAAGGAAGCAGTTAAACTAGTGATAATGTGCTCCAGAGAATTTTAGATTCATTTCTACCTGTGCCCTCTTACACCTTGTTTCCTGCTTAGACTGTAGCTCCCTTTTGAAATAAAGCATCCTGTATCTCTGTCATTGTTTGGCCCCATGTAATAAACCTCCTTACAAAGAAACTGAGGACCTCCAGACTCCCAAGTGGAATGATTCACTTCAATGCCAGGAACATTTTAACATGTGGAGCACTAACCTCCCTAGGTTATGGGATTGTTGGATGTTAGAAACAGAAGAGGTCTGAGAAATCATTTACTCCACACACTGCATGGATGAGGACATTTATGCTCATAGAGAGGGGAGGGTTACAGAGCTGGAAGGTGGTGGGCCAGGTGTAGAATGTGGTTCTCCTGCCGTATGGGCTAGTGCCCTTTTTCTGTCTTTCCCTGGAGATGGTGGTGAGAGTATTAACTCTAAAATCCATTTAAAAGAGACTTGTTATTTACCAATAAAAAATTATTTTCTTCCTCTCTCCACACTAACTTTAATACTTAGAGACATGGGAGTTTTTCCAAATTTCTGGAAGGAGAGTGACTAAAAAGAACTAGAAGGGAATATTAATTCAGTGGTATTAATTAATTTCAGTGTAAATTTGTGGCAAGTTTATACAATATGTAATGTTTTAACATCAAGACAAAGTCTAACTAGGAAACAAACATCAAACAAAGAAAATGAGCTATGTAATTGAGAAATAAATATAAATGCCTCATTCAAACAACCAGTACCCTTGCATACTCTAAAATGTAATTCCTTGATAAGTCTCAGGGGGCTTTTTTATTTTAAATTATCTAGGTTTATATAAAGCCATATTGTAATAATTCCTGGATCTTAAAAGCTACTATAAGAAAAAATAGCAAAATCTGTCAAGTTGGGGCTGACATTCCCATCTACCCTTTCCCACTCCCTCCTGTATTTCCTTGGGTGTCTACATGTATAATGTCTTGCAGAATTACTTGCATTTCCACAGGGGCTCTTGATGAACCCACAACTTCAAAATATAAGTACATAAATCTTTGGGTGTGGAATTTCAGGTGCTACAGTACATGGCAGGTGGGGCCAGGTGCCACTGATTTTCCTGCAAACTCTTCCTCCTCTGAAATCTAAACCACTGTGCTACTGCCATATATATCCTCCACCTCCATGAGATCCTAGCCTCTAGAGCCCTGTTTTCACACCTGATTGGGAGCCTATGCTTATAAGGGTTGCCATTGCCCTGTGGAAAGCCATCATTAGTGTTCATTTCTACAGACTTGGCATCAGGGGAAGGAATTCCTGAAAGGCTCTCTGTTCTTATTAGGGCTAGTGGGTTCTCTTTGCTTATGATAACTCACAGCATTTCTCTTAGAACTAAAGCTAAAGCTGTCAGAAGAACAAGGGAGTGCTCCTAAAGGTCAACCTAGAAACCTGTCCTGTGAGCAACCGACAGTCCCCAGAGAAAATGGGAAGCCGGAAGCTGCGGGCCTGGAGCCAAGCTCCTCTGGAGAAGAGACTCCAGATGCTGTTTTGACATGCCTGAAGGAGAAAAGAGAGCAACTTCCTCCCCAGGAGGATTCTAAGGTACATCACCATGTCTTGTTATATAGAGGGCCTCTATAGTTCACACAGTGCTGGTGAGATCATCCAATTTATCAGAGCACTTTGTCATTACATAAACATTTTTATTAGCCTGGCTCCAGAATTTCCGATGAGTTCCTGATAGGTTACTGGCCATGAGCAGTAGTGCCACATGATGCCAGGCTAAGCCACCATTCTGGAGGTTATAGTGTTGTGTATCGATAGGAAGTAAATGGCAAGGACAACAGGGTATATCATATCCCTTTCTCTCCAACTCTCTGCACCCCAAAATTAGCAAATGAACCCAAGACTAAGAAATAAGCATATTGCCTGAAAGGAAAGGACTCCAGTTACAGCCCCTTTCTTCATGTCTTGTTAAAAATAATAAAGCAGGGATGATCTATAAATAGTAAGAAAAATTGTTTGGTGTTTATATAATAAGAATAGAGAGGTAGGGTTTCTTAGGAGTGTTAAGTTGAAATACAAGTCTTCAGCTTTGGATATCTTAGTTTTGAAGTCTCTGTGAGGCATCTAGATAGAGTTGTCAGGCATTTGAATATATGAGCGTGGAGTTCAAAGAAAAGATTTATTATATTTTACAAAGAAGAAAAGACTGATTAGTATTTACCTGGTTAATCTCTCCTTGTCGTGCATATCTATGCTTCCATTTCAATTATGCCAGGGAAGCTTTCTTGTAGTCCCCTGTCTCAACTCTAAGACTGGTGTGATTGACTTTCAGTTCTCGAATAAGAGATGTAACTAACCTATCACAGCTCTATCTTGTAGGCCATTTACTGTTTCTTGTACTACATCTTGAACTTCTTACATGGAAGTACTATTTATAGGTCATGACCCCTCCTTTTCTGTACATAGTAGGTATTGAATAAATGTTTGCTGAGTGAATGGAAAAATGAGCAGATGAATGAACAAACTAGCATATTTAATTTTCAAATGAAGTCTTCTTGAGGAGAATGCTGCCTTTCCCTGTTCTATTGTGTATTACCTGGTATTAATCATAAAGTGACAACATATTCCAAATCTCAAAAGGCTCAAAATATGCCCCTGGATTAGTCATTTACATAAGGACTTGTGATCTACAAGTAGAAATGGACCTGTGACCACATCTTTCTTTATGAAATACCTTTAGTCTTAAAACAACAACAACAAATACATGTGAGGAGTGAAGAGAAGGTTTTCATCCACTCAGCCATCCTATCCCTGAGCCCACCAAGATTCTACTTCTGTGATAGTTAGTGGGTAACTTTTGCATATATATACAGAAACTCTCAGGTACATCTGTGGTTTTCCATCCTTCAGTGCTTCTGAAGGTCTTTCCAGTATTTTAAAGTCACTTTGACCGTATCTATTAAAGCATCTTGGTCAATGTCTAAATCTATGTTCTACTCAATTAACAAGGGTAGTAAGAGGAGAGATGGGATTGATATAGTAGACTTAGAACAGGACTCAGCACTTGAACCAGCCACTTTCTAACCATGGGCACTTGGCAAGTGAACTGATTCTCTGAGATTCAATTTCCTCATCTGTAAAATACAGGTAATACCTACTTATATAATTATCGTGACAATAAGTGAGAAACCTACTGACTGGTGGACAATAGTTCATTTGCAAAAAGATGTAAATGCCAACTATGTGTTTTGAAGTAGAATAGATGCTAGATATAAAAAATATATAGAAGTCATGGGGGGGTCAATGCCCTCATGTAGTTCATGTTGTCCTGGGAGTGGGGATACAACAAGATATAAACAACTCAATAAAAAGAAATCATTAAAAATGTTGATAAGTACTATGCAGGATATTTAACAGGTGATATGATAGAAAATAATGGGTATAGTTTCTACTTTAGATAAAGCGATTAGGAAGGCCAAGAGGTGACATTTAAAGAAGAATCAGCAGGTCAAAGGGAGCAGCAGAAAACATGCTCAACAGATGGAATTGCAGGTATGAAGGCCGTGATGAAAGGAAGACCTTGTTGTTCACTTTGAATTCTCGGGGTTGAGGGTTGGAGAACAGGATGGCATGACATCAAGTTAGAAAGACAGATTAGAACCCATCACACAGAACCTTTAAAACTGTGGGAAGTATTGGGAAGTTGTTGAATGGTTGAGAGCAGAAAAGTGACATGACATGATTACATTTAATAGATCTGTCTGCTTGCTAAGTGGAGGATACATCACAGGGAAAAGAATGAAAAGGGTAGATGGAATGGGTGGCTTGGATTAGCATGGTGGCCTTGGAGAGGGAAAGAAGTGGATACAATCAAAGTATATTTTGAAGGTAGAATCAAAAGGACATGTTGAAGCATTAGATGGGAGGAAATGAAGGCAAAGAAGAATCTGGGATGATGCATGCTTAGTAAGTACAAAACACTGTGAAACCTCTAAGTCTACAAGTGCTCATCCTCAGATGGAGGACAGGAAAGCAGATTGCCTAAGGAAGGTTAGTAGTGGAATTATGTGCCAGGAGCTGTTTTCTACTCACAGAAAAGCGTTTACTGATACAGAGAAAACTAGAAGAGCACACTGGGGTTGTAGATAAAAATATAACGTAAATGATTAGTTTGGGATATTTTACATTTAATATCTTTCAGGAATAGGGTGACCAATCGTCCCAGTTTGCCCAAGACTTTTTTGCTTTTAGCACTGAAAATCCCGTGTCCTGGGAAATGCCTCAGTCCTGGACAAACTGGGATGGTTGGTCATCTTACTGACACATGTAAATCAAATAGACATACGCAAATGAGAGTCGGAAGATCAGAGAAAAATCTCCTCATGCATGGATGTCACCTAGTATAAATGCCAATCATTTCTATTATTTTTAATGATCTATTGATTTAATAAGTGTCAGAAGCCCCCTCAAATATACCTATGATATAGCTCTTCAGTAGGCTAAAGTTAGGCCCTTTAAACAGAGAGCATCTGTAATAGAAAATGTAAATACATAAAGCTGAGTATTGGTACTGAGAAAGCTTAATATAGTAAACTATGTAGTAGCTAGTCAGTCACTATACTCAGTGTGAATCCAGAGGCTACAGCATAACCAAAGAGAAAACTTTGTATTCCCATAGCAGCTAGTGTTATTTCTAACTCCTCAATGAGCTCAGTAGCATTTCAGGTCATCTCATTAGGTCCTGTTTCTTTAAACTCAAAGAGACATATGACTTTCATCTGAGGTCCTTGCCTTATTGCTGAAAATGCATTAAATATTAAAATTTCAAGATAAAGAATGACATCTTTTCTAGAGAGACTTTATTATGACTCTTTCCATAATTTCTGCATTTGGCATTTAGTCACAGACCATACTAAGGCTGATAAATCCTATAGCATTGCCTTGTTGGTTCAGATACTGCCAGTGAGTAATTTTCTTCTTGTTTTATCTGTGGATGATTTTTAGAGATAATCACTTCTGGGTTACAGGGCATGGCTGTACACTGGAAATGAATGAGTCATCCCCTGAGCTGAACTGTAGTGCCTATTTATGTCTTTTATGTCCTTTTCTTTTGGAAATACTGAACTGGTGCTGGCATATATATCAATATTGACCTTTGTAAGAACTGTAGGTGGTGTCAGGTGCACAGCTCAAATTACCAAGGGGATGAGTAATGGCAGTTACTTCTTCTGGCCTCTCATCAACTGTAGCATCTCTGAGGATGAAAGCAGATTTTTAGAAAGTATACATTTTATCTTGAAAAAATCAATACAAAATTAATAACTTATTAGCAGCTTGTTGTTAGTTGGAAAGACAGTAGACTTAAAGGGCATGAAAAGGATGATCCCATCAAACTTTCTGCTTTCCTATTTATCCTTCTTTTTTTAAAAAATAATTTATTGAATAGGTAATACTTTCTCACATAGTTCAAAAAGAAAATACATAACAGAAAATGGTAAAAAGACTACTTCCAAAACAAACTGCCATCTCCAGCTCTAAGATCTCCCACCCCCAACAGGTAACTATTGTTATTAATGTCTTGTGTGTCTTTTTTGGAGTTTCTATGTAAAACATATACAAGACATTATCAATATACATTCCTTTTTTTTTTTTTTTAATAGAGACAGAGTGTCATTTTATCATTCAGGCTGGAGTACAGTGGCACAACCATAGCTCACTGCAGCCATAAACTCCAGAGCTCAAGTGATCTTCCCACCTTGGCCTCTCATGTAGCTGGGACTACAGGTGTGCAACACCATGCCTGGTTGATTATTTTAATTTTTTGTAGAGATGAGCTCTCACTTTTGCCCAGGCTGGTCTAAAATTCTTGGTCTTAAGGCATGCTCCCACCTCAGCCTCCCAAAGTGCTGGGATTACAGAAGTGAGCTACCATGCCTGGCCCCAATATATATCTTAACTTGCCTCTGTTAGACAAAAGGGAGCAGTCTATAGAATTATGCATCCTTTTTACTTTGTATATTCTGGATAGCTTTTTATATCAAGACATAGCTTATCATTCTCTTTTATTTTAAAAAAAATTATTCAATAGCACTGTGATATTCTTTTTTATTAATGGATAGCATTGACATTAACATCAAGTCAACTAGTTTGATAGCTCAAATAACATTTGGTATGTGTGTTATTAATCCAGAAACATTTACATATAAAACTTATTAAAAGTGATCATCATTATGCATATGAGGAAACTGAGGTTCAAATATTACATCTTTGTAATGTTAAAAACAGTTTATAAGTTTTGAAGCTGGTTATCTGAACTCATGTCCTCTGGTTTCAAGACAAATATTAACCTTCAGTTCCCGGCTTGGACATCTAAATTGACCAAAACATTCTCTTTAGCAATTGCTTTCTATGATAATATCCAGTACTGACTTTCCATCTTGTTTGATTGTTTAATTTAAACAGTCAGACTTGCTTACATATAGTGCCTCCCTCAATAAGGCGATGGGGATACTTAGACAGGAAAATCTTGGCAGGACTTGAGTCCCTAAAGCTAAGAAGCATGATTTCTATTGCTCACTGTCCAGAGAAGAGAATGTCAGTTTTACTTCTCTCCTTAAGAGAGATCTCATTTATGGGGATAATTGTAATAACTTTATAAATTTCTGTGGCTTACTGTGCAGGAATACATGGCACCAGTCCCATGGGGGAAAGGAAAACAAGGTGGTAGAAGTGCTGAAGCTATGGCAGCTTTTTCCTAAACAACTTTCTGACCAGGACCCAGAAACAAACTAATTTGGACTGACCCTCAGTAGCAGTTATGTCTCTTGGAAAGCCAGTTTATTTCCAGACCTTGATAATTCAAATAATCACTGATAGGGGGCCAGGAGTTTTCATATGGCAAAGTTGCCAAGCTATAAACAAATCATATCAAATTTTGTCCTATATATGGTCCTGTCTTGTTCAACCTCCTCTTAGTTTTACCCCGATACTATAAAAATGGAGAAACTGGAAGAATAATCATCTTTTAAAGTTTATCTCCTTTTATTTATCTTTAAATTATGACAATACATTCATAGCTCTCTTTGGCTGTTTTAGGTTATTCAACATGTAACGGAAAACATAAAGGAAACCTTGTTTCCTTCATTCATATAACAAAAATGAAAAAATAGATATATCTTGCATACTACAGCCAGCAGCAACTATAGAATTAGGGAGGAAGGATGCACTTCAGAAAGAGACAGCCATTGAATTCAGAGGAGAAAATTAGATCTGATTCTTAGCAGAAAGTGGCGGAAGAATAACAGCAAAGTCTAATGTATTTCTGCCCCCTTAGATTTGGGGTATCCTGCAGAGCTTACCTTGATTCAGTTTCCTTTATGAAGATCACTTTGCAAGCCTATAGCTTTTCTGTGAGTAGAAAACAGCTCCTGGCACATAATCCCACTACTAACCTTCCTCAGGCAATCTGCTTTCCTGTCCTCTATCTGAGGATGAGCACTTGTAGACTTAGAGGTTTCACAGTGTTTTGTACTTACTATGCATGAGGGTATGGAACCCTCACATTTCCTCAGGGATTGCTTTGATAATAATCTTAAGAGGAAGACAATGGAATCAAAGTGAAAAAGCAGTGCATACATTGTATGTGTTCCCAAATTTTTATCCAGCATCTACGGAAGATACTTTTCTATAATGGCATTCATCATTCTATCATGTGTTTTGGTTACTTTTTTCTTTTAGAATTAAATTTAGCTTTTCTAGAATCTGGGGAATATATTAAATCACAAAAATCAAATTGCAATGGAGAGATTCCAATACTAGTTAAATGCATCATTTTCTGAAATACTTTCCATGGATTGTAAGTCCCAGTAAGATATTACATTAAAAAAACATTATTTCCATGTTTTCTGAACTCAGACTGAGATTTTTTTCCTTCTGTCATCTATTAAAATCCCATGAAATAGATTTTGATGGGAACTTGTTGGGTTTTTTTTTTTTTTCATGGAAAGATGTATTATGAATAAAAGTGTTTAAAAAATGATTGGGTTAGAAAATGAAAAGATCTTGAGGTTATTTAAGCAATACTTAACAGGCTTCTATAGAGGGAAGCGAGACTTAGGTCACAGCATATGGGACTTAAAAGAAGATTGCTAAAAATTAGAGTCCTTTTTTCATATAAACCTGTGTTGATAGCTTAGTAGTAGGAATGGGAATGTGTTGGGTACTGTGAGAATTTAAAGAAGTATGTGATACGATCTCTCTCCTCAAGAATCATTTATTTGGGCAGACAATACTGAAACAAAGAAAACAGTTAAGACTCAGATAATGAGATAAGAAGTTGAGAGAAAAGGTAGATCAATACGGGCCAGAATGGTTTGCAATTGGGATGGGAGTTGTGAGCATGAGGATAACTGGGAAGTGTAACACATGTTTGAGACATTTTCTTTTCTTTCAAGGGAGACCGATCTGGATGGCAGATCTATCTGGCATGCTTGGGTGTGTGTACTTTGATAAAAGATGCCTGGGTGATTATTCCATGAGTTATTTCTACTATTCCCTTCCCACTACTTGCCAAGTGTATATCACTGGACTAGAGTAGGAAGCTATGTTTACTAGACATGCAGAAAATTAATGCAGAATACAAAGCAGGAAAAAAACCAATACAAGCAAAGGAGTTTGGTCACTTTGGATAAATAGGCAGATACATAGACAGATAGATAGATGGATAGATAGGAAGCTATTTAAATTTTTATGCACAATGTGATCCACTGAAAATAGTGATTAGGGATGGGTCTTACAGCAGAGGGGTACAGAATATATTAGTGGATCAAGAGGTTATACATTTTTTTAATGGAAGGATATTGGTAACTCCAACCTCCTTCTTGTATAGGTAGGAACTTGAGGACTCAGAGAAGTTAAATGTTTTGTCCAAAATAATTTCATTTATATCACAACTAGTCATAACCTAGTATATAATACAAGCATGTAGTAATGAAGACCTGTACAACGTTGGTGTTTGTGACTACATATAATCAGGAAAGTCTAGATAAAATATATGTTTCAGAAGAAAAATCAATGTCTGGACTGGTTTTTTAAGAATGAAGAATTCATTAAGGAAGAGGTTCCCTAACACTTACGCATTTCAGACTCCTCCAAAAATCACATTCCTAAACTTGGACGTATGCTTTAAGAAACTTTTCCAAGAAAAAACTGGCATGTGCTACATATAGTATCTTGTAAATGACTTTCTGGCTAGGCACAGTGGCTCACACCTATAATTGGAGGCCGAGGCAGGCCGATCACTTGAGGTCAGGAGTTTGAGACCAACCTGGCCAACATGGTGAAACCCTGTATCTACTAAAAATACAAAATAATTAGCCAGGCATGGTGGTGCGTGCCTGTAGTCCCAGTTACTTGGGTGGCTGAGGCAAGAGAATTGCTTGGAGGTCGCAGTGAGCCGGGATCATGCCATTGCACTCTGCCTGGGTGACAGAGTGAGACTCTGTCTCTAAATAAATAAATAAATAAATAAATAAATAAATAAATGACTTTCCTTTTCATGATAACTGTTGCATTATAGTATTATAATCCTTTACTTTGAGGCTTTTTGTCTGCTAAAAATATTGATGTTTTCATTCTTGTCTGAGAGAAGAATAATAATTTCATGTTTCTCAGGTAACTAAGCAAGACAAGAACCTCATAAAGCCGCTTTATGACCGATACAGAATTATCAAGCAAATCTTGTCAACGCCTTCCCTTATTCCAACAATTGTAAGTCAGGATACTTGCATGCTGTTACTTTGTACTGATGTGTAGTTAACATGATGTCACATAGTAGTACTAGAGTTATAAAAGACCCTTCATGACAGTATATACTGCTATCAAGGCCAGGTGTCATTTCAAAAAGTGAAAAATTGGTCTTCTCTAACCCCATTACTATACTTAACAGTGCTGATATTAGAACTATTGTAAAATAGGAACATATAGTACTTGTATGTCTAGAGCCAATTTTAACATTTGCTTTCATTAGCTTGGGTGAAAAGAAATTGATAGATTTCAGTTTGGCATTTTCTAATTTGTAACACAGCTAGACAAAACAGAGCCTTTCTGTTCTGTGTGTTGGTTAATTTTTTCCTTTAATCAGAAAATTAACAATATATTCTTGATATAATGCAACATTTGTTTTTGGTACCATTTGACCATACTATACAAGATATGAAAAGATTTATTTCAATAGAAAATATAAGTACTGAAATTGAGTTAGACTACTTTTAGTAAAGAATGATTTATGGGAATACAGAACTAGAAAAGCATCACAAATCCTACTCCATCAATATCAAAACAGTTACTTGTTCAAGATACCAATATAAAAAAGAATAAATATTAACAAATATAAATTTAAGTATGCTTGAGTACATTATACTTCCACATTTTTTGAGATGGATTATACTTCCATATTTTTAAAGACATTAAGAGAATAATAATTCAGTCTTTGGAATTTTCCCATTATGGAAGCATAATTTAAAATGTAGTAGAGTTCTTATATTTCTTGCAAGAGAATCTTCTAGTTGTGATAAGAATTATCAGAACAGGTTGAGGAGTAACCCCACTTTGCTTTGGCTTTCCAATAGCTCTCCACTGAACTTGTCAATTTTCTGAGTATCCTCTGTATCTGAATGTTGATCCCCACTGGGACCTGACTTGGGGTATTTCTGGAGGATAAAAGTTGTCTGTAGTCCACCTCATCTTAACTCATGTCACAAGTATTAAGCTGGAGCCCAGAAGGTCTGAGTGAAAGGGAGGAACCACTTGATAGTATAGTCCAGACTGGACCATATCCTAATGCTCTGTGCCTTCATTGGCCCAGAAGACACAGATGAACTTGGTGAGTTAAGTTTTAGCCCAGCATAGCTGCTGCCTTTTTGCTCATTAACTTCTGCAGGTTTTTAATGAAACTGAGGAAGAACTCTTCTTGGTTGCTTCCATCCCAGTTCTCAGTAGGCATTTGGGTCACCTACTGGTTTTCATGGCATTGATTTATGGTTCCCCTTCCCGTATTTTTTGTTTGTTTGTTTCCTCAAGAGGCACTGAGCATTACGTGACTTACTTTCTTTAACTCTGCCTGTGATAAGCAGGAGGAAGAGGACTCTGATGAAGACCATCCACAGGGAAGCCAACAACCTTCTTTGCCAGATCCAGCATCTCACCTTCCTGTTGGTGACCACCTCACCTACTCTAATGAGACTGAGCCTGTTAGGGCCCTTCTACCAGATGAAAAGAAAGAAGTAAAACCACCAGCTCTCTCCATGTCTAATTTACATGAGGCTACCATGTGAGTATGAATCCTAAGTGTAGAGTCTCCTCTTAACTCCTTCTGATCTGATACCAGCATATGAAGCAGAGCTGGCCTTTGAAAATGCTGGATTCAAAGGGGTGGGTCAACAGTTCTCAGGGCCTTTATCCTAGACTCTTACATTTAGATGAGACAGTTTTTCCACTAGAAATCCACTTGGTAGTAAGCAAATGACTTGCCCTTTGTCTCTTAAATGGCCCTTCAGATAGAAGCCATTTGGATTTTCATTAATATCATCATTATTATTATCATTATTCAGTAGCTGGCATTCCTCATGATAATCTGGCCTTCTTTGGTTTGTATCTTACAGCCCAGATTATGAGATTTAGTTTAATTTAATTTAATTTGACAGAAGTGTCTATCAGAGAAAGCAAGCAGAAAACCCTTTTTTTGGTGGTGATTCTAAAGGAGTTATTCCTAACTTTTCAAGGGGTGTTGGACTTTTTTGAAACCAACAGAATTGTTTTAAGAGAAAGCCCATATATAATTTCAAGTTCACAGAATCTCTGAAACCATACATGAGTTTGGTCTGCTTGTGTATACCACATTCCTGCTCTAGCATGTGTGACTTTTCTCTCGTCTTAGTAGAATGAAGTGAGTAGAATTCACAATGTAACTATAGCTTTCTTCTAGGTCTTATTTTCATTCACAGGGGTTATGCCATTCTCCTAATATTCCTACACTTATTTCTCTAGATTAAGAATAGAATTTTCTTTAAAAGCTGTTCCTCTGTATCTCTTATGTTCAGTCTATCACCAAATGCTGATGAGTATTCCTTCAAAATATCCCTTCCCTCATCCATCTATATTGCTGTTACCCTTTCCAGTTCTTTCAGTGGATTCAATCAATCTGCTTGCCTCTTGTCTGTCCTTTCCCATATCTTGTGATATTTTTTCCATCAGGTGATTTTCCCTGCTTATGTGCTTGCCTATGGTCAGGCTCTATGTGTGTCATATTTACCCAAAAGACACTCTTATGCTCAGAACACTTTTCAATCGTAGTATGCTTTTTTGGCTGAACAGATAAATCTGCTCACGATGATCTCTCAATTGTGCCAGTGCCCAGTAATGACAAATATTCTACCTTATATAGGCCTGTACTTCTTGACCATCTCCGAGAAACTAGGGCTGACAAGAAGAGACTGCGGAAAGCCTTAAGAGAATTTGAAGAACAGTTTTTTAAACAAACAGGAAGGTACGTGTGGGCAGAGAGATTTTTAAAGCTAATACTTCCTAGAGAATTACTGTTAAAAATGACCTGCAATTTTTTGCAGGAATGGTGACTTTTTACAAAATGTATATCATTTTCACACTGGCTTAGACTCAGGATTTGTCCAATGCAACATTCTAATATTGCCAATATTAGGGATGTTTTATGGGACATGGTAGCTGTCAGGTATGACATCAATCTGTAAAAAATAAAAGTTAAACTCTAAAAATCTCTAACTTTGCACAATAAATCTCAACATAAATACATGAATTGTGTGGTCTACTCACCTTAGTCCCTGGCAGGTTTTCCATTTTAGCCTACCAGGATATTCTTTGGGACTGGACCTACTGAGTGAAAAGCTTTTTGCATTCAGCCAACACAGATGTATCAACTTATTTTCTAGTTGGAATCTTCCTTTCAAGTTGATTGCAAAAGTCCAACTTACCTTTATGGTGATGTTAACTAATCTAGTGAGAAATGTTATGTGGCTCATAAATTTAGAACATAAAGCATTTGTTATTATTTTTCCTTTTCCATCCTTTTTTCTTCTATAAAATGTTCATGTAACATTCCTTGTAAAACATTCCTTGGAGTAGTAACTTTGTCTGGACTGTCTGCTATTATTATACCTTGGATAAATATGCGACTTGCACTATAAAGTTCCTGATCTCTGCCTCTTTTGGATTAAAGGTATTCTATGGGAATTTTTCATTCAGGGAAATATTTGTGGAGATGTTATCAAATATTCTAAATCTAAACAGTCATTACATATGAGAAATGACACTTTAAGATGTGCATACATTCATTTCATAAATTTGAGTTCCCTGAATAAATTTATATTTTTAGCAATTTGAACCCAGGAATCTATCGTAAGGGGTTTGAGAACTTCCCAGTGTGCTACTAGTTCTGCCCAGTGGATCTGCAGTGCCACTTGGTATGCTTTTGTCATACAGGGAAGTTAGTTATGTTCTAGGTATGGTGTTCCACTGTACCTATGAGTCTTAAACCCACTTCAGATAAGCCTATATATGGCTATGAAGTTGTATGCCCCCTTGTGGTGATATATTTCAACCAAATGCACAAGTGATGATCTTTTACAACTAAAATCAAACAGTTGAGTGGCTAGGAAATATGGACCTTAATTTTGTTTATCTAAGACATTTTATTGGGAAGGCCTAAGTATCAGTAAGGTAAAATAACCATGCAAATGGATTACTAAAATGTTTAAGGCACTATAAATATTCTTGGTAATATTTGCCATACAAGAGGCATGAGAATCATATAGATATTACATTATTATTAATAATTATGAGCTTGGAACTGTGCTAAGCACTTTAGTATGTTTTATATAATGGGGAAACTGCTTCAGGAAAGACTTGGCAAAACTTTCCATTCTTGTCAAAGCACTCTTATTAGCCAAAATGGAATATGCAAAACTAGGGAAAATTACATAATGGATTATTAATGTTTCTCTGTAATAATTAGACAATTTCTTTACTTAGATCTATTTATACAAATTAAGGTGATATTCAGACATCCAGTTATGATAAGTTTGACTCATAACACAGAATGGAGACAAAGGATTTATGTTATATACTTTAGACAATAGTCAAGAAGAATGCTGTCTATGGATTTGTATACTGTTTTGAGTTCTGTACTAGAAATTGCAGGGCAATAAATAGTGTTGAAATACAAGTAGATACTATATTCTTAATCTGTATAGATTAGCTTGTTTTTTATTTGGTAAGAGATAGAAATATCTCTTTATCATTACTGGGAAAAATAGAAGGGAGCTAAAGATAAAACATTAAATATATGCTATTTACCTGGTTTCAGCCATACTGTTAGAGAATATTTGTGGTTATATTCAGTTGTAATTGTGGTGACTATATCTGTGTCCTCTACCCCTTGAATTTCAAAGTCCTGGGTGGAAATGTTTTCAAAGCAATTGGCTATCTTATTAACCAAGAAAACAAGAGTCTTCTGAGACCCTGTCACAATTATTCCCTTTAGAAAACGTATCTTGACAACATATTTTTGTGGGAAGGCAAATGGTTTTAACTCCTGATATTACCAAGTTATTCTTCCAAGTAAACAGCAAGAGTATATGTACGCATACGTATAAAAATCTATGCATTGTTACATGTCTAGCCTTAGTAGAATTAGTGTACAGAAGAGAACCACCACAATTTAGACTCTCATAAATTACTTCAATCAAGGACCAGCTCAGTGGTTCTACTACATATTAGCAGAGATAGGTATTACAATTACAAGACAATCTGGAAACGTTTCAAGTTTGTAAGACAGACCCTGAATGCTTTTCTTGTTACCATAAGTTTATAAATGATTTTTATAATGAAATTTCTGTAGTATTTTCAGGTTAAAATTTTTGACAACTCTATTAAGGCTGAACATTTTGTACAGGTGTAGGGCTGTGGCAGATAATGGAAGAATGACAGGACAAAGAATGCCTTGAAAGTTCTATTTCTTGTTTGTTTGTTTCTCCTTAGATCTTTTCACTTACTCCATTGTTGTAAGTCTAAGCACTAGCCACATATTTGCAAAACACGTATGACATTCAAGTTTTCAAAGGTTACTGTTATTTAGAAGTTTAGTAACACATGGAAGAAGGAGTGAATGAAGGTGAAAGGGAAGGAAAAGAAGACATGATGCAAAAACCAAGTGGAAGCTGTCACAGTATACTTTCTCATGTATGAATTATAAAAGAATATTTAATAATGACTTGATTCATTGTGAACTAATAAATGTATTTTTGTTTTGCAGAAGTCCACAAAAGGAAGATAGGATACCAATGGCAGATGAGTACTACGAATATAAGCACATAAAAGCCAAACTGAGACTATTAGAGGTCCTCATCAGCAAGCAAGATGTGGCCAAAACTATTTGAGGTTCAAGAAATGTTATGATCACTTTCACCCATGATATAAAGTAAAGTTTATTTTCCTCTGCCATCCTTGCTAAGTAGTTTTGACACAATGAAAATGCAAGCACTTTAGTGGTAGTATTAGCTGTTTTCAAGAAGGAATAGCAAGTTTAATTATATACAAGGAGAAGGGATTTAAATGGGGGGAAGGATACAACAGGTAGCCTTATAATTGGGAAAAAATTCAGTGTCCTCCATGCCAAGCAGAAAACTCATAGTCAATACAAGTATTTTAAAAAATGTCTAATCTTTTATCAAATCTAAATAACATAGCTAGGATGCTTGTTAGGGAAAGTTTATTTAGTATCTAAAGATTGTTTATGTTGATGTATGGAAAAGAGCATGATTTTTAAAAATCAATCAGAGGAGGAAAAGAAATTCTGCTTTTCAAGTAGGAAGGAATGTACCTAGCAAGAAAGTAATTTATTTGAAACTTCTAATGGATTTTTGAGAGATAAAACATTTACTACCTTGTCCCTTAAGTCTGCTAGGCTCTCAGTACCCTAAAATAACCTAGATTGTGTTACTGCTATTTTTTTTATTTCTCTATAAAAATAACACATTATTTTATCTGTTATTTGAAATTTTACATTTCTGGTTACCAAAGTTCATTCTGATAGCATGTACTTTGTGAATTATTATCTTTGTCTATAACTGACAGATGTTTATATTAAAATAAAATATTGTATTAAAAATTTAAAATAGGTATTTTGGATAGATATGTGTCTGCAGTATATAATCTAATATGTCCATAGTATTATTGCTAATCTTTTTGTTTACTATAAGATGATATAACTATTTTTTCATTGGGAATATACATTTTTCTTAATGTTCCAACATCTATACTTTGTAAAGTCAAAACATTTCCCATGAGCTGTAGTTATTCTTCCTTCTGTACAAAATGAAAGGTTTGGAAATTGCCCTGATACCTTGAAAAAGAAGCCAGAATATTTATTTGCTTCATCAACTTTAGTGTATATCATTTTGTGTTATTTTATACTAAAACATGTTTATTATTTTCATTTTTGTAAAAGAAAGTAAAAGGTCAACATTTTCTCTCATATACCAACCTTGTTTGTATTTCTATTTTCTGTAACGTTTAAGTATGATGTTGAAGAAATTCACATTTTCTTATAGTTTGGATGGGAAGACTATTGACTATTTCAGAAACAGACTATTTCAGAGGCTTATTGTTTTCTCTGTATTCACCTAATATTTTATAACTTTTATGAATCAGAATAATGTCCTTCATACATTTGTTTAATTGAAGTCATCTACTTGTAACAGGACAGATACACAACTATTTGAGGTTTACAAATTACATCTTTGATAAGGGAAATGGTTTCGTGACATGTACACAATTGCTATTAAAATGTAACTCTATATATTCTATATGATTGTAAATATTTTATACAACAATACAAATAAAATATTTTTCTATTATATTTATTATGTTGAAACACAGTAGTTGTTTCCTGTTAGCTAATATAAATAACATAAATAACACTGTCAAACAAGAAGTTGGAAGTGCTGACAATTCTAGGCTTCAAGATTTAACTCATGCTGCAATTACACCCTTTCATGCGGTTTGGAGTTATCCCAATATTTGTTCAGTAGATTAAAATGAATGCATATTTAAACACCATTTATAAGCCATTATTGTGTACTTTGCTAAAGCGGTCTATATAACTGTTTTGTTATGTTTGGCATAAAGGAAACATAAAAACATTGCAGCATCTAGGCAATAAAGTGTCAGAAGAAGAACTTAGGGTATTTCATCATTGAAAGTAGTGGGAGGGGTAGGGAATAGGAAAACACTAAAATGGCTCTGAATGGAATTTGGAAAGTGGTAGTTCGTTTTTGGTGACAGTGGCATGTGCATGCTTCAGTGGAAAACATCTGGTGATGAAAATGGACAACAGGACCAATGCTCCTAATGGAGGAAAAGGGGCTGAGTAAGAATAAGAAAAGTGGGCATTAACGTCCAACACTGATATTACAGGTTTTGCAGCTGGGATCTTTCTTTGCATTTGCAGTAGACAAACTCATGAGCTGATGACCAGTGATTTCTGCCACGGTGCCCAGAGAAAGATCCACAGGGTCAGTGTAAATGACTTCTAAAATGACATCCTGGGCATGGTGGTAAACCAGCACCCCATCTTCTTCTGTACAGGTCAAAAATTTATTATCCTTAGAATTTAGTTGAGGAAGGCGCTGCTTACAAAATTCATCTCCTGGTGATCCCACAGGAGCAATAACAAGAATCACATAATGATAAGCAGTGTACATACAGTAGAAGTCCCCAAAGTATAAGTTAGTGTTGGGGTTAAAAAGTTTTTCTGCGGCAATCTCAAACCTGTATCTTCCATAAGGTGAATCCTGGGGTGGCTTTCCAGTATTGAATTCAGTGCTGCAGCTGAAGAAGATGCCTTCTAGTTTTCCACTGATAGGAGAGCCATGGCTACCACTGTTATCCTTGACAGAGGGCTGCATAGCATTCCCATGATGTTCTCTGCAAGAGGAAACAAGTGGTCACTGCTTAATACAATAGTGGTAAACCCACTGATTTATATATTTGAATGGCCTAAAAGTCAAACATCTACTGTTAAAGGCCTGAATACCCCTCTTACTATCAGAATAAGGGGACAGCATCTTTTGATATATTACCTATAGATGGCTGAATTCTAGCTTTGACCTTGAGGTAGGGATGATCTGCTACAAGCCTTGGAGACTTTGTATTAAATTAACATAATAATGTAAATTTCCTGACCAGAAAAATCAAACTGGAATTAGAAACCTTACTGGTAAAATCACACATGCATTAGGTGCCAACTAGGTTTCAGAAGTGGCTTTGTGAAGAGAAAACTGAACTAAAGTTATTTGTTAGTTAAATATATTGAATGTTTCTTTAATGCATGATAGATTTAGTCATAAAATGAGTGCTGTCCATTTATACTGGCACAAAAGTGTTTTGTTTTGGCTTTTTTTTTTTTTTTTGAGACAGAGTCTCGCTCTGTTGCCAGACTGGAGAGCAGTGGCGCAATCTCAGTTCACTGCAACCTCTGCCTCCCAGGTTCAAGCAATTCTCCTGCCTCAGCCTCCAGAGTAGCTGGGACTACAGGAATGCGCCACCATACCCAGCTAATTTTTGTACTTTTACTACAGAAAGGGTTTCACCATGTTGGCTGGGATGGTTTGATCTCTTGACCTTGTGATCCGCCCACCTTGGCTTCCCAAAGTGCTGGGATTACAGGCATGAGCCACCACACTCAGCTCGTTTTGGCTTTTTAACCCAAGGACAGTAATCAGGTTATTTCTCTGGCATTTTGCTTAAAACAGTGCTGGCTACTCCCCCTTTACCTCACCCCCAGATCCATTCATTCTCCACCACAGTCTTCCACTATGGCTTGGGACTCTATCACTCAGTTCCTTATCTCTTGGTCCCTTCCATTTCAGTTCTACCAATGTGAGGCACCAGCATATATAGAGTAGTATATAGAGTAGTAGGAGGTAAAGCTTTGGGTGTATCTTCCTGTATTTCCTCCGTGCTTCGGGGCCTTGTGGTTCTGGCAGGGCTGGGTTCTTCATAACTGTGTATCTCTGACTACTGCTACTGCTGGATGAATTCCTATTCCCTTTAATTCCCAAGAAGAGTAAAACTTTTCAATTCTTGCTAGTGCTAGTTCTTGGTTACTTTAGCATCCCCTGTTTGTTACCTTAACCCTGACTACACCTCTATGAGGGGTAGTTTTGTTAAATTCTCTCCAGAATTCCCCAAGTGTGCCTTTTTTTTTTTTCTGGGTCCCTGACCAGCATGACTTGGGAAGCAAAGTTCAAGCTACGACTCAAGTAAGGGAAAGTTCCCCCAGTCAATGTGCTTCTTAAAGAGTTTATGGGTCAGTGAAATGCCTGGATCAGCCTCTGAATTTAGCAGCAATGGGTCTCAAATTCTACCACCTGAAAACCACCTAGGCAGTTTATTAAAAATGCAAATTCAAGGAAAGACCAAAAAATTGTCACAGTTAAGAGAATACGGAAACACAACAAATGAATGTAGTGTGTTATCCTGGATGTGACCTATACTTTTACTTGTACTGTTCTTTTTTTCTTTCTGATGTTCCAAGATTCCTTCTTTTATTATTTCCTTCCTTCCTGTTTCAGAAACTTGTTTTAGGATAGATATGCTGTTGACAAATCCCCTTAGTTTTCCTTCATCTGAGCATATCTTAATTCCCTTTTATTATTGAAGGATATTTTCACTGGATATAGGATTCTCAGTTGACAGTGCTCTTTCAGCATTTGAAAATATTATGTCACTTTCTTTTGGTCTAGGTAGTTTCTGATGATGATGTCATTCAAATTGTTTTATTTTTCCTTATATAGTGGTGTCTTATATCTCACCACTTTCAATGTTCCCCCCCACCCCCGCTTTGGCCTGCAGTTTTCAGTTTGTAATGTATCTTGGCATGGATTTCTTTGGGTTTATCCCATTTAGGGTTTTCTCAGCTTGAATCTGTATGTTTATGTTATTTGGCAAATTTGGGAACATTTTGGCTATTATTTCTATGAATACTTTTTCAGCCCCACCCTCTTTCTCCTTTCCTTCTTGACTTTAACATCATGAATATTAGCTCTGCTATAGTCTCACATGTCCATAAGACTGATATATTTTTTTTCAGTGAGTTTTATCTCTGTTGTTCAATTTGGGTAATTTCTATTCTATCTTCAAGTTTACTATTTTTTTCTCTTTGTCCTCTTGAATCTGCTGTGGAATCCATGGAGTCTATTCAGCTTTTGACTTCACTTACTGTGTTTTTATGTTCCAAAATTTTCATTTAATTCTTTGTATCTTCTATTTCTTTGCTGCTTCTGTTTTTATCTGTTTTAAGTGTGTTAGTGTGTGCTTGTTGAACTATTTTTATGGTGGCTGCTTAAATATTTTTGTCAGATAATTCCAAGATCTGCATTATTTTGGTTTTGGTATCTTTGATCATCTTTTCTCATTCAGGTTAAGACTTTCCTGGTTCTTGGTGTGATACATGAGTTCCATTTGTATCCTGGGCATTTTAAGTTTTATGTTATTATATTTTGGATCAGATTTAAATCTAGTATTTTAGCAGGACTCCTCTTGACTATCTACCAGTGGGTGAAGAGTATGGGGTAGTCACTTCATTGATGTCAGATGGGGATAGAAGTCCAGGTTTCCTACTCAGTCTCCAGTGACACAGGGTAGGGAGGGGGGTCAGTTACTACTTGGAGGAGGTAGGAGTTTAGGCTTCCACTAGGCCTATGTTAACATAGTCTAGGTCAGAGAGAGAAGGGGTGTCTCATTACTACTTGACATGTGGCTTCACATACTATGAGGGCAAGCCTCATTTTCTTTGGGCAGTGGTGGAAAGTCTGGGTTCCCTATTCAGGCTTCTCTGATACCACCCTAGCAGAGGATGGAGGGAGAAGGATGTCCTCTTATAGATGTAAAAGGATAGAGGTCTAGGTTCCCCACTTAGCGTTGGCCGGTACATGAGGGACTACAGTTTTTTTGTTTTTTTTCTATACTGTTTGCCTGGGGTATAGTGGTTATTGTCTAAAAGGTTTCTGTATTCCAAGACATCTCAGTCTCTTTCCTGATCCTGTGGGTAAAGAGAACAGACTTTCTGGTGTTCTTTATTTCTTTTTTGTCTGTGCTCATTGGCACAGACAAAAGAGATATCTTTGTATCCCATTAACACTGAAGTGCTCAATAATCTGTTTCTTGAATGAATGAGTAAACAATAGATAAATGTGGGAGAAATAGGGAAAAGAGTATTTACTCCAACCTTTCCCTGTTCAAAATGTCTCTTCTTGGTTACATTCTCATTAACAAAATCCAAATATCTATATATGTGTCCTACATGGATCTCTAAGTGCAATTACATGAAATAATAACAGCAACATATATATAAACAGAAAATATGTACTAGGACCTGCACTTTGAGGATATACAATTTGACACCAGAGGTAGAGGAATTCCCACACATGTCTACCAATCTCAGTGAATTCCTGAAACCCTTCAGATATAAAAGGGGTATTTTAAGGACAATTAGGCTACCTAGTGAATATGAACAAGGGGTAAGAGAGAAAGTGGTGTTTTCATTTGGAGTATGAGAAAGCAATGTTCATTTAGGAATTCATTTCTAGAGGAAGAGGTCAAAATGAGTTCATTCCTTATGGACTGAATAAGAATTTATCCAGTTTTTCATAATTTAAAATGGATTATAAACTTTGGAAAGTTTATCCAGTAATTTAAATTTTCCTTTCTGTTCAAGCATTCTGAATAACAAGATGATATTTAAAATGGATTTTAATCAAGGAAATGTGTCTTAATTAGAGTTAATGACAAAAAAAATCAACATCCATGAAATCAATGTCTACTACTTTTTAATAAGGCTTCTTAAAAAAGCAATGTCGAAAAATTATACTACACTGTGGAAAGTATATTTATTTATACGTACTGCACCAAGACATATTTTACATGGATTTTATAACTATCATTATGGAAAATTTAACAAAGGTAAATTTTCTTGTTAGCAAACACAGCTTTCATACTGGTAGCTGGGAGTAAAATCATGCAATATACACAATAATTATCCATTTTCTAGGCACTCTGTCTTTATTTTTATTTATTTTTTTATTCTTGGAAGCATTTTTGAAAACAGATGAAGCAAACTTTAGATCACTGAAGGCCCTAAAAACAAAGGCCAGTTCCCATTCAAGGGACAGAGAAAAGTCACAGAGAAATACTGCCCTCCAGTGGCCACCTAAAATAGATGTTGGCAATGTACTAGGAATATAAACCTAAAATCCAAGATGTAATTATTCTTTTGATGTATTTCTTACCAAAGACAACAGAAATATGGAGGGTTTTTTTTTGGTTTTCAAATTTTATACATAACAAATACAGACAGTTCCTGACTTATGATGGTTTGGTTTACAATTGTTTGACTTTATGATGGTGTGAAAATGATGCATATTCAGTAGAAAACGTACTTTGAATGTTGATCTTTTCAACACTTTTTTTTTTTTAATAAAATAGGCTTTCTGTTAGATAATTTTGCCCAACTGTGGGCTAATGTGATCTGAAAGTGTTTAAGGAGGCTAGGCTAAGCTATGATGTTTTGTAGGTTAGGTGTATTAAATGCATTTTCAACTTACAATGCGTTTAATGGGACATAACCCCACCGTAAGTCAAGGAGCATCTGTATAAAGAAACACCTTCCTTGCTGAGTCTATATGGTCATTGTCAATCCACAATTGACAAGCACAATAATTTATGTTATATGTATCAGTCTGTACACTCTAAATTAGGTGAATGGTATCTACCAGGAATTATATGGACTCTAGAGTAAATACCAATAGAGAAAATGAAGGACTAAACTCTGTATTTATAAGATATTCAAACAAATGGCAGGAATATTTTTTTCGCCATCAAAATATATAAAAATATATTCTATTGCTAAGTACTTAATTTGAAGAACACAGATGCCTATGTGTGTTCTTCTCTCTCTCATTCCTGTTACGTTTTCCACAGCTTGAAGCTGATTTAAATCTGGAACCATGATCTTCATTTAAGAGAAACTAGAGAAGTATGAAAGAAACAAATACAAAGAACAACAAAGTTTCCTAAATCCTTTTCATACATAGTCCTGTCAACTTAAGAATCCTTTAGAGTCTGAAGTGAGGCTTTTAAAATGATAAATTATAGGGAATGCTATGTAAGTTTTACAACCTATATAGCATTTGCCATTTTAAAAGCCTTAGTCTCACTAAGGCTTTTAAAACACAAAACACACATCTGGGCTATTTATTCTCTTCAAATTTTCTTCTACAAACATGAAAGTGCTGTAAGTATAAAAACTACCTGCAGGATAGAGTTCTTTTAACTTCTCAGGAACTGCTTCCAGGGATAAACGTAGGCTATCTTAGAAATTTTAGTAAAATCACTAGAATTTAAAAGTAAACAAAGGAGATTATCCTCATGATAATTAATTCAAGATAACAGCTGGTATGTTTTGGCTGTGTCCCCACCTAAATCTCATCTTGACTTGTAACTCCCACAATTCCCACATGTCATGGGAGGAACCCGGTGGGAGTTGATTGAATTATGGGGAGGGGGGATCTTTCCTGTGCTGTTCTCATGATAGTGAATGAGTCTCATGAGATCTGATGGTTTTAAAAAGGGGAGGAGTTTCCCTGCACAAGCTCTCTTTTTGCCTGCTGCTATCCATGTAAGGTGTGACTTGCTTCTCCTTGCCTTCCACCATGATTGTGAGGCCTCTCCAGCCATGTGGAACTGTAAGTCCAATAAACTTCTTTCTTTTGTAAATTACCCAATCTTGGGTGTATTTTATCAGCAGCCTGAAAAAATACAACAGCTAAAAGACTTCTACTTAGGTAGAAGTCTGCAAATCCCACCTGATTCACCATAATATTTCATGAAACAGTCACTCTTTTATCCTCTCGTTTTCAATGTCTTAAAAAGACCCACAAAAAGAGGAAAAAATTAGTAGTCAGTATGAAGTAGACAGCAGGACGAGTGTGTACATGAAATGCTCATCAATCTAAATACCACAGGTTTAAGATCCTCTAGTCAAATGGGCAGGAACTGGTATCACAAATGATTATGGAAAGGAATCTAAGTGAAATAGAAAAAAAATCTCATGATCTTTTCTACTTAATTTTTCTGGAAAATAAAATTCCGTATAGTTATTTTGAAAAGAAATCTAGCACTGCTATTTGACAGAACTAGAATCAAGGGAAACCTGAGCCTAAAATTTGAAACTATATTTAGTAAAACAAATCACTATATATTTTGAATCTTACCGAACATAGTCAAAATATTCTTTGTGCTGATTACGATAAAAAACAGAAAACTTAAGCATGCGTCCTGCAATCACTTCAGCCTTCTCCAACAATTGTGTTAGATGAACTTTTGAATAGTCTGGAAAAAAAACAAATAAGTTTGTTATTAAAAATTTTGCACCAAAAGTACCAACTATATACTTAATAAATTGAAGATTATTAAAATTCATCTATAGGGAATTCAACTTAATAAATAGGAAATTCCATTTAAAAAAGAAAATATTCATTGTCTGTGTGGCACATTTTTCTTTCTACAAAACATTTTTGTTATGGTTTATGGTTGTTTCTTAGAATACCTTTGCCTGCATTTTTCCATTTTTTGAAATTAGAGATACTGAAACAATTAAATAACTTTTCATAATCCAAGTAATATCCATTAGCACCATACTAGCTTTTCTTCAACCAGTTGATAAACTGAATAAAAGAAGCTTATAATCCGCAACCAATAGAAAAGTTGGACAGCAAAAATAGTAATGAGTACATAAGACTTGGGTACACAACATGCTTGAAACTCTAAAGTATCTGTCAAAGTAATCTGATTTTTTTTAACCCACTTTTTGTTTTGAAAGTTGTTTGAGAATTGCTAACTCCTATACCAGAAACTAGGGAAATATTTTGGCCTGTAAAGATTAGTAACAATTTCCAAACAGAAGCAACCTAGTTAAATTGCTTCATTGGCTCAATAAACAGTTACTGAGATTAGAACATACGATGTAAAAGGTACTATGCAAAATTAGATGATCAAGTTAAAAGATAAAAAAAGATATTACTATTCCTTGCAAAGAACTGATAATCTAAGAGAAGAGATAAATATATGTACAATAATGATTTATTACGGTAAGTATTAGCATTTTGAGATTGGGATAAGCACAAGGTTTTAAACGCTGTCATAGACTAGAAAAGAAGTAGATTAGCCTGTAGCATTCTATTTTATTTTATTACCAATACATTGTACAGTGCCTAGCTCACAGTATGGGCTTAATTAATGTTGAATGAATTCAATGTTCAGATTAAAAGTCAACTTATACAAAATAGCTTTATCAAAACTTAGAGTCAAGGTTATTGATAAAGTTTATGTGAAAAGTCTGTAAATTACTCTGATAAACAAGAGCTTTGAACAGGTTAAGCTCCTTCTAGATTCAGCCTCTCTCTATAATTTTTTATAGGAAACGGTCATCTTGATGAACAGGAGGAAACAAAGTTTCTTTCTAAAAGACAAAAGGAAAGGATGACAGGAGTACTCAGGCAGAGATATCTTTGTATCCCATTAACACTGAAGTGCTCAATAAATGACTGTTTCTTGAATGAATGGGTAAACAATAGATACATGACTGAGATGAATGATAATGTTTCCAATCTAATGGAATATTAAGGTTCAGTTCCACATCAAACCTCCCAAAACAATGGCTTTGAGGTACTTTCTAGTGAAGGAAAGACACACATATGTATACAGGACACTAGTTTAGATGCAGATTTTCTTAAGGTCTTTTAGTACTCTAGTGAAAAATCTAGTAACATTTCTGCTAGGGACAGTCACTGAGATCTGCCTCCATTCACCTGAATTAGAAAAGGATTTTTGTAGTTTCTGCCTTTCAGTATTGGTGAAAATGAAAAAGGGAAAAAAAAAAAAAAAAAAAAAGAAGAAAGCTCTGTCCTCTCTCAAAATGAAGCTAAAAAATATGCTGAGTATATTTTCAAACTGCATACCTTTTTATTTGCACAGTTTTCATCTTGAAAAAATCAAACTATGGATATAGAAAAAAAAAGTGATTTGAAGCCATTACTCAGATTTTTCTGAGAACTTCAGCTTCCTCCAATCAATACAACATTGTTTATTCTGTTACACAATGCTACTGACAGTGCAAAAAATGACCAATGTCATATATATCACCTTGCAATTACAAAAAAGAAATATTTTTCTATAATTAGCTTTCCCAGATCAATTAACTTTTTTTCTGTATTTGTACCTAGTTCTCTTACCTGCAGTGCAGAATTCTATAATTTCACTCCATTCAGACACAACATAATCACCATCAACTTGTTTTGAGGCAGTCTGCACTGCTACCGTATATTCAGTTCTTGGACTTAAAAACCAGTGTCCACGGACAGTCATAGGCAAGGGAACAGCTTTTGCCACCAATTTTGTGGGAACATCCTAGGAATGAAAGAAGGAAGAGAGAGAGAAAAATGAGAGGAGACAGAGAGGGAGGAAGGAAGTGAAGAAGGAAGAAAAGGGAGAAGAGAAGAAGGAGGGACGAGAGAAGGAGGGAAGGCACAAGGGAAAGAGGGAGGGAAGGAAGGAGGGGAAAGGAGGAAGTTAATTTAGTAGTATAACTTTAATCAACTGTAAACAATGGAGAAGAATTTATTAAATTCCTGACTGACAATAGAATTTACTGCTTAAAGATACTTAACAATTATTATATTTAAATCTCTTATTTGCCATATGCAAAAAACTAAGAACTAACTTTATCAAGAGACAAGCTTGAGGTCATACAGCTTGTTAATAACATAAATGTACTTGGATTCCAGTTTTCTTGATTTCTAATACGGTGTTTCTTTCTGTACACTATATGCTCCTCAAAATGCAGCATTCTCATACTAAATGACAAAACTTTAAAAAACAGAGGCATAAAAGATAAAGTTCAATAGTATTAAAATATTATATTTGGTTAACTTATACTATCCAATAATTTTACTAAAGCTGCCCATTACTTGATATTTTACATGTTAAAGGAGAAAACACTAAAAATATGAATTTTTACTTCACTTTCTTTTTTTTTTTTTTTTTTTTTTTTTTTTTTTTTGAGACAGAGTCTTGATCTGGCGCCCAGGCTGGAGTGCAGTGGCCGGATCTCAGCTCACTGCAAACTCCGCCTCCCGGGTTCACGCCATTCTCCTGCCTCAGCCTCCGGAGTAGCTGGGACTACAGGCGCCCGTCACCTCGCCCAGCTAGTTTTTTCGTATTTTTTAGTAGAGACGGGGTTTCACTGTGTTAGCCAGGATGGTCTCGATCTCCTGACCTCGTGATCCGCCCGTCTCGGCCTCCCAAAGTGCTGGGATTACAGACTTGAGCCACCGCGCCCGGCCTTCACTTTCATTCAAGTATAGACTCTATGTGTCTTTCCAAGGATATGGTATTCCAAGTGGAGAGTGAAGAAAAAGGGTCAAATCTTGAACAATTCATCATTTAATATTTGAAATTTAAGATTTCAAAGCCATATAAACAAGGCAAATGTCAGCAAAGAGAATATCCATCACTAGAAAGCATAATCAGAATTGGAACTCAGAAAAAATAATGACTGCTCAATCTTGCTCCCTCTTTCACACTTATCTGTAGTATGTATGATCCTCACTTATCTTTAGTATATATAATTGCACATCTAATAAAAGCAATATTTCTAGGTAAGATAAGAAAGTTCCAAAGTATCTAGCAAGTTAAAACTTGATATCAATATTAAGGTATTGATACTGATTTTCATCATTGGTGAAAACACTGCAACATAAGAAAGAATGCTTAAAGCAGATAACTGTTATTTTCTCTATAGATACTTCTGGAGAGACAGCTATATCAGAAAAGATATATGATATGTGAATAAATATCAGAGAAGTGTTATATGTCTAAAAACATTTAAAAGTTAATAATTTTCATTCTCAAAACTAAAAAGCAAAAGACAAAAATTTTCATTATCAAAACAAAAAACAAAAAGCAAAAGACAGCAGACTATCTAAAGCAATTTTTAGCCCTAAAATGTTTTTAAAATACCTTGAAGTTTATAAATTGCATCAGATTCCTTGTTTGGCAGTTAAAGGAAAAAATGTGTGCTTCAGGGTAAAACTATGCGTTGCCTATAGCACCCTCTTCTGGCTATCAGTCTCTGTTATGGAAGCCATTTTACAATTCTGTAATTTGTAGAAACTAATAACAATTCAGTTTTTCTTGTTTAAATACATACAAATAAATTATGTTCAGTGGAGGACAACCCTCCTCTTCACTCCTCCTATCAGGACTACCAGTTTATACCTGGATCTACAAATGAGTCTTTTCTTTGGATTACCCTTTGAACTGGTTATAACACCTCATCGGTTTCCTCATTAATGAGTTAAATAAAATCTTTAACGTAAATTAATTTTGACATCTAGATGATAGTCATGATTTTACCTTTTTTTGAAAATTATCTTCTAACAATAAGCATGGCATTTCATTTTCTTACAAAACTTATTAGAATGATAGGGTTTTAAAGTTACATATAATTTTTATTTTTTCCCAAGTCAAATACATCACATAAGCCATTAATAGAATATTACTCGTTCTTTTAAAATGTCCTCATACTTAGAAAGTTTTAAGATGCAAATGAGCATGAGTATTTGTTAGACTTTACCTTGTGTTTAAATTTATTGGAGTTCTTGTTCTCTTTCTTGTTGAGGTCAATAAAATAGTGTGTAATGCGATCCTTTGATTTTGAATCCATTTCCCATGAAATCTTGAATGAGTCACACGTTATATTGCTTATTTTGATGTTATGTGGTACAGGAAGTTCTTCCATCTCTGCTATGCCACTGTCTTGTGATTTGTTCCCTGCAAGAAAACAATGCACAGAAGTTAATTTCCAATTAATGGATTTTCCAGTTTGCAAGGTCTTTAGCTATGTACATATTTCTGAAATCACTTCATTAGTGAATCTGAGATTTCATTTTGTTCATGAAGTAATTTGAGTTTTAATGGTAGTAAAGAACGTTTATAAGGTCATATTACCAATAAAAAGTAGAGATGACTTAGTCCTTATCATCTTTACATTTTCCATTTACTTTTCCAATTTGTTTTCACAGAGTGAACACAAAAACACTGACACTCTAGTTTTCTGATCTATGACATGTTAGTTTTATACAGTTAGGATCCCTCTAAAAAGCCTCAAGAGCCTATTTTTCTACATGACCAATCAAATTTGCTCTAAAGTAATATCAGATGTTTTAAGCCAGATAATTTCATAGAAATGTTGATAATGAAAGGGTCCATCCAAATGAAGGAAATATTTCTTTAAAAGTCCATGGCCTAGCAGTAACAGTCTATAAAAATTCCCCCTCCTCTTTCATTTTGGAAGCATTATATAGAGAAACAGCATGTAATGGTTTTACTACACATACAAATAATACTGAAGACCATTCACTTACAAGTTGCTATCTCAAGGATAACTCTAGAAATCTTTTATCTGTGGAATCTTGAATTTAATTTTGAGAGCTGAAACAACAAATAAGGCTAAAAGAAAAAAGATGATTGCCATAGTGATTGATATTAAAATCCTGAAGAATTTATATGACACCTAGTTACTTTAAAGATTATCTCTACACTTCCACTTAGAGAAAATGCTAATAATTTCGCTGACAGTATAGAGCAGGATTTGACAGATCATAGGACAAAAAGAAAATACAGACATGCCAAGTTTGTTTTATATATAGGAAAGACATACTAGAATCAAATTTTACTCCATTTTTTTCTATATTCCCTTTCCCCAGGCCGACATAATGTTCAATGCCTCAAAGGAGAAAAAAATTGTTATTCAAATAAGAAAAAATGTTAGGCCATAAATCAACTACTTAACTTGTTCCCTAACATAATAAAATGTTCAACAAAAAAACAACAGTGAATGTCACCTTGTGGCAATACTTTCCATTTCCAGATTAGATTGTTCTCTCCTCCCCCACATTTCCATAACAGTCATTGATATAAACCTTTTGACAATTCCCAACTTCATTAAATCTTTGACCCATGTTGTCTCATCTCAACCTGCATTGTAGCCAGAGGAACTCAAAGGCAATCAAAAACTAATTTCAAAATAAGTTATTTAATTTTATTTCTTGAACAATACTTTTAAAAATCCTTCTTTCTTCTCCTATGTACTTTCTTCAGTCCCGTTTCTCCACATTCCCTCTCCACAAAACTCCCGAAAAAACTACTTCACCTTTAATTTCCTCCCCGTCAGGTTGCATAGAATCCCCAAATTACTTCTAGCTTAAAGCTTTTCAAAAGTTAAGAGCAGGGAAGAAATCAAGTGAAATACTTATAATGGCCTTGGGAAAGGGAAAGGCAAAAAACACGCAAAACCACAGCAATTAGTAATTTTATACTATTTTGAAAAGCTCACATTTCAACCCATTAGTCTGTCCTACTTGTCTTTAAACATCAGTAATAGTAATGAAAAACTTTCTGAACTCTGATAGTAGAAATTTTTGTAGAACTCATCTGCATTATAACTATGTCCATATAATTTCACAACTGAGTGAAAAAAATACAATTGTTATTTAGGATCATGTAGATAAAAATAAAGCTATTTTGCATTTGATTCAATTTAATGGAAACATAACTTCAATACAGTAACACTATCTAAGATACCATTAATAGTTTTTGCATTTAAACTTCCACTATTGTTACCTTCTTCAACCTTAAAGTCACAAATGATTATTTTACAGAACATAATACTTTGTTTTTTGGATTTTTCCTTCTGATTGTTAAAATTCAAGAGGAAAAAAATGTTACTTTTATTATAAGTGAAAACCTTTGCTCAAATTATATTTTTCCCATTGGGAACAATATAAAGCTCAAGCCTAGAAATAATTTGGTATATTAAAAATCTTCATTTTCAAGCTAGTCATCACAAAACCACTACATTAACTAGTTCTTAACAAAACCACTAGATTAACTTTTATGCAACTTTCTTACTTGGGTAGGCCAAGTAAAAAATTTAATGTAAATAAATCTTACAAGTTTACATGTAACTTTCTTCTTCCTCACTCTCTGTGAATCAATTTTTAACTGAGATTTTGAGATAAGTGACAGAAGACAATAATTCTGTCTCTAAAAACTGATGAAAAAACAGTTATCCACATGACACTAATAATAATAATCAGTTACCAGTCAGTACTATCTCAGTTCTGTCAATCAATCATACTTCCCAAAGTAGCTTCCTTTCCTTAGTAAGACTTCATCTTACAGACAATTCTAGCTACATATCTCTACTTTACATGCTAAATGGTTCTAACATCTATGCCTACACTGTGGATTGGTACAACTGAATGCAGAATGAATGTACTTTTGTTTCATGTACTTTTGTTTATCCACAACATGAAAGTTGCTTTTGAGAACAAACATTTCAAAAGCAGTTTCTAATGACAGCAACTATTGAAATGCAAGCTGAAAACACTCCAAATTACACTAATAATACTTTCTATATACAGCTCTTTTCTCATTGAGCTTGTTATCTTATAAAAGAATGATCAGATTTTTGTTAAAAAACAGCTTTATTGAGATATAATTCATATACCATATAATTCATTCATTCAAAGTATACAATTCAATGGTTTTTGGTGGATTCAAACTTGCGCATCCACCCATACAAGCAATTAAGAACACTGTCTTTACCCCAAATTAAAACCCCACCTAAGCCATCATCCCTCCCACTCTGACCACACATACACATTTGACACCTCCCTTCAGCCCTAGACAATCACAAATCTATTTTCTGTCTCCATAGATTTGCCTATTTTGTACATTCATATTAAATGGTATCATACAATATGTGGTCTTTCGTGACTGGCTTCTTCACATAGCAAAAGGTTTTCAAGCTTCATCCACGTTGTACCAGTACTTCACTTCTTTTTATTGCAGCACAATATTCCACTGTATGCATACACCATTCATCAGCTGATAGACATTGGGTTGTTTCCACTTTGGGGCTATTATAAATAATGCTACCATGAACATTTGTGAACCAATTTTTGTGCTAACATGTATTTCCATTTCTCTTAGGTGTATACCTAAGAGTGGAATTGCTGTGTCATATAATAATTTATATGTTTAACTTACTTAGGAACTGCCAGACTTTTCCAAATTAGTTGTACATTTCACATTCCCATTAGCAGTGTATGAAGGTTCCAATTTCTTCACATCCTCACCAACATTTAACATTTAATATTATCTATCCTTTTTTTTTAATTGAAAAAAGGTATCATAGCGGTTGTGTAGTGGTATCTCACTGTGGTTGTAATTTGCATTTCCCTGATAGCTAATGGTGTTGGAAATCTTTTCACGTGTTTATTGGCTATTTGTATATCTTCTTTGGAGAAATGTTTATTCAGATCCATTGCCCCTTTTTAAAAATTGAGTTGTCTTTTTTTATTACTGAGTTGTAATGGTCCTTTATCATCTAGATACAAGTCTATTATCAGATATATGATTTGCAAAAATGTTCTCTCATTCTGTGGTTTGTCTCTTTTCTTTTTAAAAGCACAAAAAATAATTTTGACCAAGTCCAATTTATCTATTTTTCTTTTGTTGCTCATGCTTTTGGGGTCATATTTTAAGAAAACACTGCTTAACCCAAGGTCATGAAGATTTATTTTCTTCTAAGGGTATTATAGTTTTAATTCTTACATTTAGGTCTTTGATCCATTCTGAGGTAATTTTGTATATGGTGTGAGGTAGGGGTCCAACTTCATTCTTTTTCATATGGATATGTCGCTATCTCAGCATTGTTGAAAAGATTATTCTTTTCTTATTTAATTGCCTTGGCACCCTTGCCAAAATCAACTGGTCATAAATATATGGTTTATTTCTACACTCTCAATTCTATTCTACTGATCTTGATCCCCAACTCCAGTACTGCACCAACTTGATTACTGTAGCACTGTAGTACGTTCTGAAGTCAAGAAAGGTGAGTCCTTCAACTTTGTTCATCTTTTCAAGACCTTTTTGGCTATTCTGGGTCCCCTGAATTTCCATATGAATTTTAGAATCAGCTTGTCAGTTTCTGCAAAGAAGTTAGATGGGATTTTGCTAAGGTTTGAATTGAATCTATATATAAATTTGGGGGTATTTTCATCTTAATAATATTGTCTTCCAATCTATGGAACATGAGGTGTCTTACCATTTATTTAGGTCTTCTTTAGTTTCTTTCAACATGATCCATTCTTACATGCCCAAAATAAGCAAGAGCGTTTAAGGAGAAAGTAAACCTACATTATCAATGAAGAGATCACTGTAGATTAATTCCCTTTTAAATGTCTATTGTGGAAGTTTACAAGCATACATCAAGTAGACAAAATAATGCAATGAATCTCCATGTACCTATCGCCCAACTTTAAAACACATTGACATTTTGCCAGTTTTGTTTCATTTATTTACTATCTGGTTTTGAATTCATTCACCTTTTCTTAGATAAATTTTATTTTGATAGAATTTCAGACTTACAAAAAAGTTGTAAAACTAGTACTAAGAGCTCCCATATACCCTTTACCCAGATTCTCTACTTGTTAACATTTTACTGAATTTGCTTTATTATCTTCTGTCTCTCCCCCTGCCACCTCTCTTTCTCTCCACACATACAAATACACATTTACTTCAGAATCATTTGAGAGTAAACTGCCCACAGGATGGCCCTTTATTCCTAAACACTAAATTGTATATTTCATTAGAAAGATACTCTCTTACACAACCAAAGTATAATGATCAAAATCAGAAAATTACTATTGCCCTATCATCTAACCTATAGACCTCATATTTCAGTATTTGTTTTTTTAAAAAAT